GGAAACTTGCTTCTGAAAGTTGAAGAGGTCCAGCTCTGTGTGCTCAGCTCCTCCTAAGAGGTTTAGACACTCCCATCCTCACCTACAAGAAGGGCAAATGAAGGATTTCTCTTTAGGAAATTAATCAGGGTTAATGAATTGCAGATATTTAAAGCCAGTGGCTCAGCCATATCATTCTATAGAGATGTTTCCATCCAAAGGTCTGTCTACTCTCACAGAGATTCTGGTGGATTTTGCGTTCTTCACTCTCAACTATGGACAGAGAGCCAGGAATCACTAGACAACTGAGGAAATCTTCTATTATAGAAGACTAATTAACACAATAAAGAAAAATTATGGAAAAAGACAACCTATGAAGTAGAAAAGAGCTTTTAAAAAAACAACTATACTTAACATGCTCAAAAAAAGAACAATGATATTCTATCTATTCTTTTTCATTTTTTAAGGTATGCTTTTTGGTGAGAAAGATTGGCCCTGAGCTCACATCTGTTGCCAATCTTACTCTTTTTTTTCCTCCCCAAAGTCCCAGTATATAGTTGTATATCCTAGTTGCAAGTCATTCCAGTTCTGTGTGTGGGATGCTGCCACATCACCGCTTGATGAGCAGTGTGTAGGTTTGTGCCCAGGATTGAAACCAGCAAACCCCAGGCCACCAAGGTGGAGCATACAAACTTAACCAGCTAGCCATGGGACTGGCTCCTCTATCTATTCTAAAGGATGTATAAAGTAAAACATTCAGAGAATACTTAAAGACATCTTTGAAGATAAAAATATGATGGCAGTAATGAAAAAATCAAGATAAGTATTGGGCAAAAAGTTAAGAAAATATGCTGTATTAAAGAACAAAACTATAAAGAAATTGAAAAGAGGAGAGAAGAAGAAAAAAAGTAGAGAACTCATGCAGGTGTTATACCACGTGGGTAATAAGAATTCCAGAAACAAGAAGTAGAAGAAATGACACGGAGGACATTTTCAAGGGATTATATTTTACTTGCCAGAGTTAAAAGACATTTGTTTCTTGATTGAAATTTCCCACCACTAAGTGGTAAACAAAAGGGTAAACAAAGAAAAAACCCACACTGATGCAAAATGTTAGATTAAGATTAAAGCCCTAAAATCATCCAAATTTCGGGAGAAAGGCTTTAGTCATCCAAAGAGTAGAAAAAAACAAGCACATTGTATTTCTTAACTCCAATACCATAATTTAGAAGACAGTGAAGCACTTCCTTTGAAATTGTGATGGGCCATTGTTACCATTCTATAATTGTATATAGAGGCAACTCGTCAACTCAATTTACTCATTTTTGTAATCATCCAATATTTTAGAGTACCTGCTATGCTTTAGGCATTGTTCTAAGTACAAGGGGTAAATATATTATAAAACAGACAAAATCCTGCTTTAATGTAGCTTAAATTTTAATAATGGAGATGAATGAAATATACAAATATAGAGAATTTTAGACCTTAATAAGTGCAGAGGACAACAAATAAAGTAGGCCAAAGAAATACAAAGTGTGTACATAGTGAAGAGGAGTTGACATTTTAGATAAGCTATCAGAAGAAGGTCTCTCTGAGAGTGGGTTTCTAGGTAAAGAAATAAAAGGAATAATCTAGTAATAGAATGTTTTAGATAAGAGCATTCCAAGGACTTGCAGAGAGAACAAAAGTTTTGAAGTTGTAATACACATACTTTGTTCAAGATATAGGAAGAGGTCAATGTGCTTGTAGCAATGAAAGAGGAGAGAGGATACAGACACGAGATCAGAGAACTAAGGACAGAGGGAGGGGTTATGTTCAGCACTGAAGATCATAGTGAAGACTTTGGGTAAACTCCAAGTGAAATGGAAAGCCTGCAGAAGTGTTTGAGTATATTTTATACATAAATTTTAGCACAATTACTATGGTAAGGACAGAATCAAGGGGATCAGTTAAGAGGCTACTGCAGTAGATCAAGCCGGAGAGACAGGTGTCCTGGACTCAGTGGTGGCAATGTGAGTAAACAGAAATGGGTGAATTTTGGCTATTTTGAAGGTAAATTTCTCAGAATTTGCTGATGAACTGAATGTAGAATATGAAAGCAAGAAGGTTATTAAAGATAATGCCACAATTTTTAATCTGAACAACTGAAATGAAAGAGTTGCCCTTTAGTGGAATGGAAAAGATTGTAGGAGGCATAGGTTTGTTGAGCCATCAGGATCTCCACTTATGAAATGTTATGTGTGAAATGCTGATCATCATTGAAGGGAATATGTCAAAAAGGTATCATAATTGTAGGTTTGGAATACAGAAGTTCTGATTATAGATATATATTGGTAATATATATCTTAAAGATGAGAGAAGTACATACAATTGCATAGAGTGAGCATAGAGAGAAAAGAAAAGATTCAAGGACTAAGCCTGGGAGCACACTTATACTCTGGGGAGATGAACCAGCTAAAGAGACTGGCCAACTAAAGGATGACCAGAAAGGTAGAAGGAGAGCTAGATTTGAAGAATATCATGGAAGCCAAGTGAAAAAAGTGTTTCAGGAAGAGAGTAACCCATTGTGTCAAATGCCACTGTTGGCCAAGTAAGGAAAGACTAAAGTAAGTCCATTGCATTTGACAAGAAGAAGTCATTGTTGATTTGATAAAGGAAATTTATCAAATGGAAATTTGAAGTGATAAGAGCAGATACCTAACCAGGGAGGGTTCGAGAGACAATAGGTTGAGATAAATAAATTTTAAATTTATCCAAAGATGTTTTGCTGTAAAGAGTAGAAGAAAAATGAGATAGTAGTGGAAAGAAAAGTTAGATCAGGACAATTTTTTTTAGATGCGAGAAATAATAGCATGCTTGTATGCTGATGAAAATGATCCAGAAGAGAGAAAAAAATGATGATGATGAAAGAAAGATGGGAGAATTGATGGAGCAATATCTTTAAGAACTTGAGATGGAATGGGGTCTAAGGCATATTAGGCAATCATGCAAAGGGTAGATTTTGCTTAGAACAGGAACAATGCATCTTTAGTAACAGGAGAGAATAAAGAGTATGTGAGCTGAGATTCAGGTTGATAGATAAATGTGGTATTAAAGAAGGTTCATGAAGGTTTGCTTCTGATTATTTCAATCTTCTTAGTGTTGTATGAATCAAGGTTAGTATCATCTGAGAGTAGGGATGGGCCGATGTAAGGAGAAAGTATAAAGAACAACATAGATACATAGAAGAATAATAGAGAAGAAGGAAGACTTTTCCAGACATTTGGGTACCAAAAATTGTTCTCCTTTCCCCATTTTATCAGAAAGGCACTAAATATAAGCTCCACAGATATGGGGGAATTAAACAAGATAGGGAAAATGAAGCTCAAACACAGATGAGAAGCAAAGGAAATCTCAAGGTATGTCTTAGAACATCAGTTCTGCCTAAAGATCAACGAACTAGGTAGCTAGATGAGGCATAGCCCAGGAGGAAAGTCACACACACACACACACACACACGTGAAGGGAAACTTTTGTTTACTTAATGCGTTAAAATATTTCAGTAGGTGCTATCACTTCTGGCAGAGAGTTGGAGGAAAAAAATGACTGATGAGTACTTAGAAACCAATCAAACACATTTCAAAAAAGAAACAATTTTTATTTACCAGAGACAACTTGTTGAAGAAAAGAGATATAATTGGTAGAGTATGGCTCAGCTACTGATTATATATGTTTACTTCAAATGGAGTAAACTCTAATCATTGATCCGTTTCACAATACTATAAAACTGTATCAGGTATATATAAATGAGTGTGTAGGGGAGTAGATTTTGAACAAATTAAATCACTTATTTCAATGTAGTTAGACAAAAGATATGTGAATTTTTTAAAAGAATCAAAGAATAGTTTGTAATGTGTAACATATAAATAAAATGTAAATAAATTGAAAACTAAGTAAAAGATAGAGATAAATGAATTAAAAGTACCTCTGAGAAATAAGAGTAAGAAGTGGAAGGGGTCTAGCAGGGGATTTGATTTTTAGAGCTTTTTCATTTTTTAAAGTTTTAAAAGGGCATAATTTGATTTTAAAACAAGTAGTTAATGATATAAAGTAATATGCAGTCATTACAGAAGTCAGAAATCCAACTATCCATACTCAGTCATAATTCTCTAAAAGAGCATTTGTTAGTCGCATTTGGACAATTTGAAATTTTTCTCTATCTAATTATTTTGAAAATATTATAGGGAGAAACAAAATTGTTCAAAACTTGTTTAAATTGATTCTTACTAAGTCTCACCTAGATTTTACCAAAATGACATAGCATCCCTTTGTTTGAGTATCTGAGTTTACCTGTGCCCTCTTATGGATACACATATTATTCATTCCTGTAGGAAGTTCTTCCTATGCTTGGACCATCCTAATTCTTATAACATCTGAGATGACTGTGACTATCTTATTCATGTTTCAACTCCTGTTACTCTCAATTCAATGTCATATACCTATGAGGCATCTTATAAATATTTGGCTAACTAAAATAAGTTATCTTCCTCTTTTTCCCTTAGTCTGACAGGATTGACATCATATTACATTTTGTATGGAGGCATTTATTTTTTAAGATTCTGTAGCCATGGAGAAAAATGAAAAGTTACCCTGATCTATGAATTAAGTGTGTTTCCTAGTAATTCGACGTTAACTTATATGAAATCTTCCTTAATAGAGATGATAAGACTTAATTTAAAATATCTATTGCACATATTTTCCCCAATTTATTGTTTAGACACTTGAACTTAACATGGAATAGGAAAAAAAATCTTTCCAATGGACTCTTCATTTATGAATTATCCATGAGGATTCTGACCAGCTTACAGGCATTAAGATCTTGGTTAAAATATGACAAAAGTAGTGTCATAGCATGACTTTTGTTAAATGTCACTTCTATATTTACAATTACTAAAAGCATTGCCTTTATATATACATTTCTGTGAGATATATATATAGAGAGAGATACACAAAGATAGAAATAGATATATTGATACACTCACACACTCAGGGTGGTTAAACAATTCTATTTATCTTCATAAATTAGCAAGACTTCAGTAGAAGATGACATTGCAATCTGTAAAACCTCTCCTGTGAAAAAAATACATATTACAAAATATGACTCAATGCATAAAATCCCACAAATCTAAACTACGTAATTATATATGTAATATTGTAGTACTAATAATTTAATTTTAAAGGGATAAAATAATACTATATCAGAAATAACTGAAATTCAGCTCATCACTTTTTATACCTTGAGGTTTTTAAAAGAATTTTCCATAGAAAGAAACAAGACAACAAGCCCAATATGGAGTCACTTATGCTAAGCCCCACGTAACCAAACAGAGGATTAATTACAGCTTCGGCTCCCCCAGAAAGAGGATCTTAAAGCAGTCAATCAGGAATCACCTGAGCACTCATGAGGTAATCTGCCTGATCCACTCCTGCCATCCCCTATAGGAAAGTAACCTTGCAAGAACCAACTCACTTTTTTGCCTAGTATAACTTCCTTGTTCCTGCTCCCTGCTTCCTGTAAACGTCTTTCATCTTGTACAGCTCCTCAGAGCTCCTGTGCATCTGCTAGATTACCTATTGCACACATTTTCCCCAATTTAGCTATTTGTTCCTGTATTTCTGTATTTTTAAGATTCTGTAGTCACAGAGAAAAAAGGAAAAGCTCTCCTGATCCATGAATTCAGTATGTGTCCTAATAATTTAATGATTTCATCAGCATGGCAGAAAAAAAAGAAGGTAATGTTCCAGCACCATTGGACATGACCCAGGGAGTTACTTCAGTAGAGAATTTAGTGACTTTTGCTTCCCCTGGAGCAAGCACTCAACTTTATTTCTGCCGTCCCTCAAAACTTCTGAGGCGCCTGCCCCACTGGAACAGGGCACAGACTTCTGCTTCCCTCCCACCTTGAGCCAGGGTCCTTGGGCTTCTGACAGGCCACAAGAACAGTGCCACTGGGGGCTCCTGGCCTGCTCACTGGTGCTCCTGAAGGCTTTCTTTGCTCCTCGAACAGCCCCCATTGAGGAGGCCGGGTGCTGAGGAAGAAGAGGAATGATTTGCTCCTGCCTGACTCAAACTGATTTTTGCTTAGATAAGCTCTTAAAATTTTTAATATGCCTCAGTTTACCTTTTAACAGATATAATGAAAATAGTTTTAATCTTAATGAATCTTAACAAACTATCAAAACATGAAGCAAGAGATATAAATTTATGGAGTTTATTATCATAAATAAATTTTTGATAATGTTTTCCCCTTTTTTGAAAACGAACTACAACCATTAGTCATAGAAAACTCTTAGCATCTAATTTAAATGTACAAAGATAGCAATAAGTTTAGAAGATGTGGGGCATCAGGCAGCTACAGGAAAATAACTTCCCTCTTCCAGTCAATTCTGGATTTGTGTATCTATGTGAAAATAGAGAAAGCTTCTTTAGCAAACACCTCTCTGAAAATTCTAGTAAGATAGGCTTTTAAAAATTCTTTTACAACTTGTCTGCTCTTCTATTGGAGTGAGGCAGGTTGCAGAGTAGGCACACCCTACAACACGGTGGCTGTCAATCTTTGAAGACCTGGAAGCTAGATATCATGTGACCCCTACCTGGGTGGCAGGAGCAAGTCCTAGCAGTATGGAGAGTCATGTAGTCACTCCGACCTAAAATCAGGATCCACAGGGCCTCCACAGGGCCTCTAGAGGACTTCGCATTATTCTCAAAGAGAAACAGAATTTTAAAAAGTCCGGCAGAACTGCAGGAAAGAGACGAGTGTGTTTGAATTTTTGCTCTGCATGGAGCAGAGCTGATGAGAATATGTACTTAAGTTTTCTTGGAGAATTCATAAGCAGAAGTCATTATTTACGGAAGGACTGGAAGCCAAAATTCACACTGCCTATGGTGCCTGAGAAATCCCAGTTCAAAAACTGAGCTTGAAGTCTCAGGTTGCTTGATCACACAGACACCAGACAGAAGCAACTGAAAACCTTCCAGCATGATTCACTTTCATAAAATAAATCTCAAGTTATTTTTAAAAATAATATTATAAAGAAAATAATATTTACTGCTAACAATTACTAAATGCCTAAGGAAAAAAATATCCATCATTAATGATGCCCTTCTCTAGAAGAAGGGGAAAGCCTTGTAAACTCAGACTAAAAATATTAGAGGAAAATCAGAAATGGAATATAAATATTATTTATATTTTATCTGTAAGATACAAGAGATATCAAATTAAAAACAAAATTGTACACAGATAAGGAGAATCTTTATTGGAAATGAGTATTTCAATAGGCAAAAGGAGACTCTTGTTGTAGGGAAACACTCAAAGAGTAGCTAGAATGCCTCAGGGAAGGGATGCGTGAGCTCAGATTTGAGATGCTGAGACTTTGGGAAGGTGATTGTCCATAAAGAGGGGCGCTAAAAACTACTGGGGGCTCCTTGAAACATAACTGTGTCAAATAGTGTGATGACAGGAAAGAGTGTGGTTAGACACATAGGACTGAGGACGGGGCTGAGATGGAGCAAACGAATTCCAGGCAGGGAGTTAACGTGAAATTCAGGTCTCAGCTGTTCTAGTCAGGCCACCTAAATTATAGCAAGCACGAAGTTGGATCAGCCTTGTCAGAGGAGTTAAAAAAATTAACAAAATAATGAGATTATCACAATTGGTCAATAAGTTTCGAAAGAACCAAAAAGTACTTCTGTAAATGAGCCATATAACATATTTTTAAAAGCAACATTTTAAAAAAGCAAAATAGACACAACTGAAAGAGTATTAAGTAGAAAACAGAAAATTAGGGGAAAAAAAGCAAAAATGTATTAAAAGAGTAAGGGCCATGATGGATAAAGTGAAAATTTCAACAGATATTGAACTGGCGTTCCAGAATGCAAAAATAAATAGAATGTGTGAGATACAGGATTTGAGAGATAATATCTGAGAATTGTCCTCAAATGGCAAGCAGAATTGATCCTCATGTCCAGAAAGTACAACAAATGACAAGCAGAATGAGTCAAAAGAAATCAACTCTTAGACAGATCTATGTAAATCTGCTGAATACCTAAGGCAGTTAGAAGCTCATAGAAGCCTCAGAAAGGATGGATCACCTGGATGGAAACACCAAGTAGACTAACAGGTGATTTCATACAAACAGTATAGGAAGCCAGAAGACACTTGGTAAAAATCTAGGAGACAAAATCACTTTTAACTTATAGTTTAATATCCAAATAAACAAAAGCAAGGGTAAAAGTAAGATATTTTGAAATTAATGGAAACCTGAGCTTGCTGCCAAAACCTACTCATTAAAAGAAAGTATAAAGATATGAATCACAAAGAAGGAGAATAATCTTAAAAGACTTTCTGAGATGCAATAAATATGTAAAAAAGTTTTACACTAATAGGTATTTCTAATTATTGAATACATAAAACATGCCAACAAATATTTTAAAAAGTGTATTAAAATAAACTAAATTAGCCTTAATGTCCTGAGCAATAACATTATATCTTTAATAGAATGTTAATTGTAAGATAAAATATGCAAGTTTAGACTTTTAAATATATGCATATTTAAATTTCTGCAAGAATTATTAGAAAAGTAAAAACATAAAAGTTCCAAACTAATTAAAGAAAAATAGTAGAAAAGAATAAAACTTTTCAATCCATCTGAGAGACGACAGGAAATGTAACAGAAATAATGTCAAAACAATTTCAACAGGAAAATTGAGCTGAAAAGTAGCCTAGAGGCTCCCATCTAAAACAAGAGATTCACCAAGTGGAAAAAACGCTAAGGTTCTTTGTTTGTGTGTTTTGCTTTTAATTGAAATATATTTGACATATAACATTTGTATAAATTTAAGGTGTATAACATGAATTTGATACATTTGTATATTGTAATATGATTACCATTGTAGCAATAATTAACGCCTCTATCACATTACATAGTTATTTCTTTTTAGTGATTGGAATCATTAAGTTCTAGTCTCTTAGCAACTTTGATGATTATAATACAATATTGTTGTCTGTTTCACTATACTGTGCATTAGATCTCTAGGACTTATTTATACTTGTTGTTGAACAGCATCTTCTCTGCCCCCCGTTCGCTGTTAACACTTACATGTGAAATCTAAAAAATACTAAGGTAAAGTAAAAGGATTTTGCCAAGTACTTTGTAAATCCTAAAGGAATAAAAAACTTGCTGTTAGTGTATCTGGAATTGTTCTTTTCAACTCTGTATGTGCTCAGACATTATTATAAAGTAGTCTTTTGTCCTGTGCCATCATAGTCACAAAGAGGCTTTATATACTGTTGATGTTCTCTGAAATTATCTTTAAGAGGAGAACATTATAGCTTCTCTATTAGAGTAAGGTCAATTCTCTCTTGAAAACAACCAGTTTTTTTATTTTCTTAGTTCCTGTCTTTTTTAGCTTTAATTTAAAACTAAGAAGCTCCTCTTGAGGTTTGTTGTTTGGGTCTACTATGAAAAAGAGGCATAGAAAGATCTGGACAAATAGAAAATGCAAAGTAAAATCATAGACTTGTAAATCAATATAAATGTAGTAATTCTTGAAATGAAAGATGGGGATGTCAGCTGAATTCAAAACCAAAGTTATATGCTTTCTACAGCAAATCTACTTAAATTATAAGGACACAGAGAGTTAAACAATAAAAGGCAGAAAAAGAATTATACCAAGAAAATACTGATATAAACCAAAGGAAAGTTGGTATAGGTAACAATAATAAATAAAATAGTCTTTAAAATAAAAACATATCTAAAGATAGACTCATTATTTTCCAGTAAAAATTTTCAATTCAGCAGGAAGATACAGAAATAATAAACTTGCAGATTTTAATATAGCTTCAAAATATATAAAATAAAAAAACCAGAAGCACTGATTGATCAAATATCATTCCATCCCATCTTCACGATCACCACCATCTGAATATAGCAGTGTGTTGTTGTTGCTGTTATTCTTAACATAAATGGATGAATTACAACTAAAAGCAGGTTTCTGCTATAACGGAAACCTTAAATAAGAGGAGTTGATAGTGGGAGGCAAAATTTTTGGTAAAACTATCACCTTTAGT